TGAAATCTAAATAGTTGCCTTTTTTCATGGAAAGAATTACGGTTGCATATTTTTATGGAAAGTATTGCATCAATTTAAAAGTTGTCCCTTTGAATTTTGCATGAGCATTTCGTGTTTGAAGGAGTTTGAATGAAACTTCGTTGAAATAGCAACTCAATTAATGAATTGATTTTATTTCTTAATTCAATAAATAGATAATTAAGGATATTAGAGTTCTTTTAATCCAAAATGTACTTCTTAACAAAATAATTTGGTGATTGAACTTTTTGACAAATAAATTATTAAAAGTGTACCGACCCACAAATATGTCAAAAAAAAAAAAAAGAAGGAAAGACCAAGAAGGTGCCCACCTGGCCCATTTCAATCTGCAAAGCCATGACCAACCAATTGGTAGCCACATCTAACCCCTCGTGTGGGTGGCCCTTTTGAGATGAGCATGTGTGGCCTACCCAATCATTGCTGCCATTCAGGCCCTTTTAATATTCAGTGCTTCCCAACTGTCCTGACCACACGTGCGGATGAGACAGATGAGAAAATTTAATGCGAAATCAACTGCGTACTTTAGTGTAGACCACATCGATGGATGGCATTTGCAACCCGATTTGATTAGACTGGGATTTGTTTGGCAACAAACAGATACAAAAAGTCAAGCCTACGATCTTGAATGAGACAAACAGACTGGATTCTACTACAGTTATGGCCTTGGTCATTACTGAGAGGACATATCAAAGTAAAGGTCTTGGTCTTCATTATGCAACATCTCTTGATCTCAATCACAATTTTGTTTTGTCGTTTATAATTCTCATTACCCCTCTTTCTTTTCTTTTTTTGGATGAATTTGAGTTAAGATTCTCAAAAAAAATATAACACCGAGTTTGATATCTCACCGAATTGATTGCAAAATAAAGAGATATCAATAATAATACAGTAACTAAGAAGAACTATCAAAGTAAAAGACTTGGTTCCACTATGCAACATCTCTTGATCTCCATCATACTTTTGTTGTGTCAATTATAATTCTCGTATTCACTTGTTTTTTTTTTTTGGGTGGAATTTGAGTTAAGATTTTGGGAAGGGATATGACATCAAGTTTGATGTTGTATCAAATGTACAACAAAAAAAGATAATTTTATTGCAATTTAGGCCAAGTTACACATCAAAAGAACTATTTCCCAAAATGAAGAGAAATTTTTGTGAATGTGACATCTCGTACGAAGTTAAGGATTATCAATATTAGGAGACTCTATTTGGTTAAATTGATGGCCAATATTTTAAAATGTAACAAATAGTAAGTATCATCATGTTGCAAAGCTTAGAACACTATAATCAATGAGTGGAGCATGAAATTTAGCATAAACATCATGCATCACCTATACGAATGTCACATCCGAGTACAAATTAAGTTAAAAACTAAGAAGTCTCATTGGTTAAACAGGAGGGACAAAACCTTAAAGAGGTGACAAATATTAAGAATCATCGTGTTACAAAAAAAAAAAAAGAGACCTTCAAAACAATAGGATTGATCTCAAACAATAATAATCTCACAACATTAACTCGTAACCTTATTTTATTTTAAAGTTAACCTTATTTTTATTTTAAAGTAACTTTCGTAGCCTACAAAATATACTCATTCAATACAACAAATGAAACTAGTCTGTCTGGATGTATTAGGGTTGTAAAGGAGGAGGTAATAGGCGTGTGTTATATAATCAAATAAAGCATGGTTGTGTAGAGGAAGTTATTCAGATTTTTCCAGCATTTTTATTGGAGACAATCATAGTGTCTTGTTATTTCCAGGCCAAGTTATCTCTAAAGCAGACAAGAAGTGAGGAAAATAATATTGATCTGCATTATCATAGTCTATGCTGAGGAGATCAGAAAGACCGATATGGAGTATAAGATGTGGGGGAAAAAAAGGAGATGATGAAAACACAGTAGAATAATTTGTATGAAAATATTTCACTGCTTATTATATTGATACCTTAATTATAACTCTTACATAAAGAGTGATGATTTAGCAAATATCTTACTCAAATGTCGGTCACGTGATGCTATCGAGTCAAAAAATTCAACAGAACTAGAGGGAGGGACTACGTTAAGGTTTCAATATAATTGCCTCTCACCTCATACTAATTTGAGACATGGACAATCAATTTTGAGCAATGAGGAAGACATCCACTATAGAAGATGTCAGAAACACTATATTTGCTTCCCTTGATTTAAAGCCAAGCAGTCGAGAAGTCTCAAATATACAAGCATTTATGACTAATAGTATGAATAAAAATGCATTCATTCGCAACTCTTAACCACTACAGTTGTGTGAAGCCACTGCGGATGTAGCAATGCGATTAATAAATGTATCATACATGTATTGCTTCAAATATTCTATCTTCCTTCATGCAACTATAGGAAAATGCACCCAAGGGTAAAATAGCCTTTGAGAGAATTCTGTGTGTGTGTGTGTGTGTTTTTAGTTGGAGAGAGAGAGAGATTTGGCCGTATTCTTGTTTACCATGAAAAGAAGCTTCCAAGGCTGCTATATCTCTCTGATTGAAAGAAAATTGTTTTATTCTTATCGCTTTGTTAGCCCTGCAGATTCCCGTACCACTCAAATCTATGATCTCCAACATTAATGAAAGGCTGTCTGTATGGAAAAGTCTATGTACGTGTGCACTTTGGCTTCTATTACATCAGGATAAGCTACGAGGATAAGCTAAGGTATGTTCAAATGACAAAGATAGATTTTAGTTATATATCTTTGACCGATTCATTCCTAACTATTACCGTGAATACCATGAAAATAGTGAAGTTAAGTGAAATATTTATTGGTTAAAAAATGAGATGCTATCGAAAATTAATTTTAAATATCTCTCTTCAACCTTTTGAGCAAAATATGACAAAAAGAAGAAAAATCTGTAGACCGATTTTATCATCTCTATCCGTATGAACTACGAGATCATCCCAAGAATTCCTTCAGCATCCAAGAGGTACGGACCAACCATAGAACCCTATTCAATAAGTGGAAGGCATTAGTTGTCTACCCTTATGTTAGTCAGTAAGTGTCGAAAAAAGATAATCACTCATTTTAAAATCAGTGTTCTTGAGACCACGGAGCCAAGGGAGAGGGGGGTACCTTTATTAAATCTAGTACTTCAAAAGTTTCATTTCTATCAAAAAAGTGTATTTGCTTATGCATGAAGTATATAAGTCTATCCCTAAGTGTGAAGAGGCCAATCTTATAATTCTAATACATGACACTTAAATTATAATAAAGCTAATTCTACTTCGACGTGCCAAAAATAAAGCTAAACTTAGGTGAGAAAGCAGTGGTAAAAGTAAGAGGCAGAATAATTGTGTCAGCACTCTGCCTCCTTTGGCCATCCACAACATGATTTTAGAGGCATAGGGCCTTGGCAATCATTGCGCACGCGTTGTTTGGCAAAACGTGGCCGCAAGATGCCCAGAGAATTCCAGGCACTGTGAGGCCAAATGATATCATTGAACTGCAATGGTTGACCAATTCTGTAGATAAATCCATTTATTTAAGAAGTGTTTTGAATTTTGGTCGACCTCTAAAGATGATGTTGTTGCTGTTTTAAGGGTCATGCTGCCATAGTAAAGGAAAGCATCTCCCAAGTTAGCTCTGAATCAAACTATTGGCAAGTTTTGGCAAAACAAATAAGAAATAGAAGAAAGAAACTATTGCCAAGTTTAGGTTAGACAGTGCTGAGGATTATGTAAGAATGACAATCCAGCTGACACCTAAAGATGACACTTTGAAATGTGCACTTTAGTTTGATTGCAATTAATGCACTTTATTAATAGGATAAAAAGCAATTTTTCTCACATATTTTATGAAAGTCAATTTTTTAAACTTATTTTTCAGACGACGACAACGTTAAGTTGACGGTAGAGATAGACTTGGCATTAAGGCCAACCACCCAATGGTGTGGTTAGCTAGTGAAATTTTATTTGGTAGCCTAATGCCAATTTGTGTAAATGATTTTATTCGAAGAAGTACAATTTTATCAATAAAATTCACATGTGACGATTTGAACAAATTAGATTTGCACGATTATCCTTCATCATTGATCAATATGTTGAGCANGTTTTATCAATAAAATTCACATGTGACAATTTGAACAAATTAGATTTGCACGATTATCCTCCATCAGTGATCAATATGTTGAGCCGCCCTCTGCGTGTTTGATTTTGAATAATTGACTTTAAGGGTATGTTTGTTTGGGAAGATAACGGTGGATTGGGTTAAAAAATTCAGGGCTCCATATATCTCAACTTTGGATCCAAAAGTTAGCATAGGATAATTGTTGGGCTTTAATAACTTAGTCGTAGTAAGTAACCCGATTTATCCCCTCTGAGTCTGATAGTTTAAATCCACAGGCCGTGTGGGATAGATCTGGTGGGATTTTTCTACCAATAGAATTGAAGGAAAATTTACCATGCTACTCCTCAACAATGCAAATTAGGGTTAAAAACTCTTGACTAAAAGAGTCATCTTTTCTTCTTAGCTAATTCTGCAACCTTGAAACATTGCATTCGGGTTCAAGAATCGAAACTAACCAAGCGACGTGAATATGATATTGAGTTGAGATCAAATGTATTTATGATCGAATTTTTTATTTTTCTGCCAATGGGTGTTGTAATTAAAATTTAAAAGGACCAAAATAAATGATTAAAAATATAACTCTCTTCTAAAAAGGTGAAAAAACTAGGATTGAGTTGTGCTTATTATAAGATTTTAGGTTAGAAGGAACAATGTGTAGAATGCCAAAAAACATATTTTATTAAATAATTTACATTAAAAATATTTCAATATTAATTTCAAGTGGCAAACTAATCTTGCCAAAACAAACATGAAAGGATTGGACTATATTAAAGGGTGTAATGGTAAATTCATGTCAAAGTAAAATAAATTGATGTGAGTTGGTACATGGGACCCACACTTAGATAAAAGTAATAGCCAAATGAAAAATTGGATAATGAATGGTGTTTGGATCACCATGAAAGGATTGGATTGAATTGGATTTGAATCCAAACCTAATTCAACCCAATACAAAGTAGTTCAGATTGTAGGATTATAATCCGGGATTCAAATCTTATCCCATATTTGGATTGGTTTTATTTTGTTTGTGGACTCCATTAACATGTAAAGATAAAACATGCTAAAATGATTATTTTACCCTTGTGTAAACAATGTAATTCAATCCTATACCATGTTTGGAATGGAATAAAAAAAAAAATTCAATCCATTAGCATAGTTTTTTTTACAACAAAAAATATGAATATCAAAGAGATTAAAAAGTAGAACATTTGGTTTTGTATTTAATTTTACTTTGTCATTGTGTGATGATGTCTTGTACCCCGATTTGTGTTCAGTGCAATATTGTATTTAGAAGTAGAGAAACTACCGTCTCGTAAAACTAATTCCAAATTTCTTCTATGGCGTGCGCAGAGATGCAAATTTATAGAACAGGAACTTGAGAAAGTGTGGGAGGAAATTTCATTGCATAAGAAACAGTCTGAACCTGCTGAAGATGCAAAAATGCAAGTTTTAAAGGAGCTAGAGTGCACTAAGAGGGTCATACAAGAATTGAAACTCAATCTGGACAGAGTTGATTGACAGAGAAGAGAGGAAAGACATAGTGAAAATGGAGCGCGAGAGACGATGGAGACACGACTGAAAATGAAATGGGTTTATATACTTGGCCAAAAAAAAAAAAATTCCCTTTTTATTGAGCTTCTGTTATATAGACAGATACAGAGATCTCTTCTAGGAAGAAGGGGAACAGTGGTCCACACTCTGCAACCCAAACCAAGTTTATTATAAAATTCTACACACAGGAATCACAGTCATCAATATAATACGCCAATACAGATAAGAGACAGAGGGAGAGAGAGAGACAGAGGGGGGAAAGGGAGAAACCTGGACCTTGGACTTCGGCGCCGTTAGCGGGGAGGATCAGTGGGGATGCTGTGTGTTGGAAAGTAATGGAGCTAGGTACCAAAACCTAGCAAAAAACACTATTTAAGGGTGTAATTTATAATTTTATCATTTATCCATTCACTAGGTTTTCAATCCTTCCATGGCCATGGGTTTAGATAATCCCTTCTGACCTGGATTCAAGTCCAGCCGTGGAGCATGCCGAGTTTTTGAATCCCACGAGGAGAGGATTCCAAATTTTTCAACCAAACTTGGGATAAGTGGGTCATTTCACTATTTTAATCCAATCTCACTTTTAATCCCCCTCAATCCTGTTAAACAAAAACCACCTAAAGGGATAAGATTATAACCTTTCCCATCCAAACTAATGTCATTCAACCACTTCCGTTGGCTTAAGGTTTATGTTTTACTCCCTCTCCAAGCCAATGTTTGTCTTGTTAGATTATTACGTGGAAGTCACCGATTAGCCCGACTGATTCATACTAGTAGAACCTTACTATTAAATATTTTACCATATACTCTTTTTCGTATCCAATTTAACTCCATGTCGAAGCCAATGTAATAATTGAATAAGTTGTCCATATAAGTGATTTTTAACCCACCCTTCTCATATGTTACATTTAATCCATTAATATAGGCTAAAAGTCAATATTCATGTCGATCCAATAAAATTAGAATGAAATTTTTTCATATACTTTTTTCTCCCCAAACATAAAGTAACTAGATTAGATGGCATTTTAATTATATCTAACACAACATGGGTTCAAATCTCTTTATCCTACCATCCAAACAATATCTATGTTTATCTTCCTTTGGCTCGATAAAGAAAGGAGAAGGCATGTGAGAGCCAAGGATTAGAAAACAAACAATGAAACCAACCTAGACATTAAACCCTGAGATGGTATATACTGATTAAGGCTCACTAATTTTTGCTTTCAGCTATGTCACATCAGCGATTAGGCTAATAATGCAGATTACCATGTCATGATCATAATTATTGTTACCCCTAAACCCTATTTACTACAGCTATTAAAGGTTTCCATGATGGCCTTAAGCATATACAATCTAAAGGTTAGTAGAGATCAACATTAATTTAGACTTGGTGGAGCATTGATTGGGCGAAAATTTCGGCCTTCCATGCTTGTTTAACTGAGTACTGCTTCGTCTATTCGGCTTAAAGGAAGATGTCTCTAGTCATTTTGTGACAACTAGACCAAAGAAGTATGGTGGGAGCATCATATTGAGGGGACTTTACTTGAGTAGTGTTTTTCTTTTTTGTTAATTTTCCCTCAAAGATAATGATGTATGACCGTGAGAGTTGAATTTAAGATGATGATAAAGTTATTTCATCATAACTTAGATATCACAAGTTTGAATCTCTCCCCCGCTACAGAATAAATCAGACCATTCATACACCCTGCAGTGCCAGAAACTTAATGCACTATACTGTCATTTTAAGGATCAATCACCAACTAAAACTTCGTCAAGGTTCAACGTGAAAACGTCATTAAGCTAGAGAGTGCCTTGTACATGATGGAGCACAAGGAATATTTTATATAATGTTTCCTTCAAATCTGACACAATACCCTATGTTTTTTCTCTTGGATAACTTAAATAATTCTAATCAAAGCAGAGAAAGAACTTTAATCAAAGAAGGGAGAGAACTAAGACTCTACAGAACCTTGGCATTACATGCAAGAAAAAGGTTTGATGTACCACACTTCCTCCTACCAAAGCTGAGGTCACTATATCAGGGGCAGAGCTGTGATCGGAGATGCTTGGAAGAAAACTTAAGACCAGAATTACAACGAGCACTAACTACATCAGTTAGTGACAATATTTGTAGTTGCTAGCAAATGTTATAGCTAGGAAGGGAGGAAGCAAAATTAATTTCATGTATTTACTACCCTTTGATTTATAACTAGAAACACGGACAAGTCTAAGAAGTTTCATGTATTTAATTTGCTGCCCTTTGATTTGTAACTAAGAAACACGGATATGCTAAATGTCAAACGGGTGCTGGACACAAACAGCCCTTAGATACTTTTCGACACATCTTCAAAACTTTTCTGCCCATTCTCGGAATACCCCTTGGGACACTTTCCGCATGTTCGTGAGTAAGAAATAAAATTTTAAATTTTAAATATGTGTCCGACACTTCTAAGGCCGCGTCAATGGCTAAAATGAAAACATATATCGGACACTTACTGAAGACTTCTTGATACATTTATTAAAACATATATCCGTTATTCCTCTTAACTATGTTTCTTTTATGCATTGTTCAACAATCTTCTCCTCCCATCCCCTAGTAAAGTTACACCTCCAACTCCTTAAGAATGCAAGAATTGTCTATCACTTCTGTCTTGCCACCGATCCATCTAATAAATATAAACTGCTCTAAGCATTGCCAGTCCAATGAGAAGCCAAAACCCTTTGCGGGGCTTCCAACCATTCATTATAGACATCTTATAGTTGTGCATTAAGGTACATAAAATTGTAGACCTGAATGCATATATGCATAGTAACTGTATCAAGCACGACAGGCGCACTTGTATGCCTTTAGAGGCTTACCCTAGTAAATATTCTCAGGTAAGACAGCAGAACCTCACCTCTTTTATTGATAAATACAAAACCCGATTTTAGATCCACTAGAACATGTAAATCTACTAGACTACAAATAAAGAAGTTGGTAGCAACAAAACAGCCTAACCTCCAGCCATATTCGAAACTCTATCAAATTAGATATAAAAGGCTAAAACAAGCAAACAGCTGGAAACACTATTCGGTAAACAAGAACAGCAATTATCTACTTTTTAACTGCAAAGCCACGGCTTGGAAACAAAACATTTGAGGAAAGCAATACAGAATATGCAGCAGCAGTGTATGAAAANCTACTTTTTAACTGCAAAGCCACTGCTTAGAAACAAAACATTTGAGGAAAGCAATACAGAATATGCAGCAGCAGTGTATGAAAATTCTCCATTGATGACTATCAAAAGGACAAGATGATAGTCCCCCCGGAATGTCTTTTTCAGAATGTCTTTTAAGGCATGAGTTGAAGGACCGTATACCCTTTAACCAGAGCAATTATGTCACTCATATACTACCCATTACAATGAACATATTCTTTCTCAATTCATATATTTTACATCACGAGCAAATAGAAAAATGGTCACATGGAGGACCATGACAGCAGAGTGTTTCTAGAATGAACAATACAAATAGGCAATGGATGCAAAGGCTGGACCGGCAGGATATAGTACCTAATGAACTAAAAGCAAGAAAAAGAGGAGGTTTAAAGAAAATAAAAAATTTTGTAGTAAATACAATTTCAGTTCTCTAAGAAAAAAATATCCTACAGTAGTGGCAAGCAATAACCAACATATCTGGTATCTATGAGGCCAAGTATGGAATTCTGAGTCTTCTGACAATTCACTTCAAATCAGAGTATCCATTTCTCTTCCTTCCATCCTAGGATTTGAATCATCTATTTTACATCTTATTAATCTTTACAGCTTTCAGGTANAACTCCCATCGTCAGGAATTGATCTTTGGCATGGTGGCTTCTCTCTCCCTACCTCTTGGTGGATACCTAGTGAAAGGATTGGCATCATCATGGATTATGGGGTTATCATTGCAGTTGTGCTTGTTGTTGAACAAAGGCAGTCAAGGCTGCCAATTGTTGGGCTAGCAAATCAAATTGTTGTTGCATTCTCACGTTTCTTGCGTTAGACTCAACTTCATAGATATCCTCCACAAGTCTTCTCCTAGGCAGTATGGTGACAAGAACTTAACATGGCTCTAATTCCAACTAATGCAGGGAAGCAGGTAGAATAAGGGTGGATAATGAATGAAAGAGGATAATGAAACAAACCGTTGATTTGCACACAATTACTAGATTAGAATCCTACTCTAGAGTCGTTGATTCACAAAGAATATCAGCCTAAAGGCTTCAATTGATTTGTTGATTCACAAAGAATACCAGAAGAATTGGAAGAAAAGAGATAAACTCTCAATTGTATAAATCAATCAAAAACTACTTAGCCCTAAGGCTTATAAGGGTATAAATGGTGATGAAAGCCTAAAACTAATTAGGAAATGACCAAACGTAACCTAATTATCGTTAATTACGTAATTAGGTCATTAATAAAGATTTTGCCACAAAAAAAACAAAATTTTCAAACTAATTATACTACTAAAAACTACTAATCACCCTGATTAAGGTGAAACCGACGGCGATCAATTATGACTTTAAACAATAATGTTATTCAACTACAAATTATTACAAAAAATAGCAAAAACGCCCTTTTCAGGCTCTAAATGAAAGAATTTGTCTGAAATCTGCTCGAAGTCATTGCATCCCCTGTTAGGGGTGGTATCAGTTCATTTTGTCCCGCCATTTCTGACTTGGCATAGCACATAGGTGTTTAGAAACTCATGTATGTGGAAGTACCTCTGAAAAAGTCAACTCATTTGACCAACCCAAATCACCTCGACATCGATCCCATTGATTCAAGTAATATGCTATTATACGATCTACATCAATATGAGAAAATAATTTTTAGCCCGCCGCCTTAATTTGAGTTATTTGTAAACACTGGTATCAAGCAAATATTATAACTATAAAACATAACATGTGTTATTTTATAATTTAACATAATAAAAATATATAATATTAA